GCGGTTAACCTAGGTGCGATATACGGAGTTAGATGGCATAATAATACGTTCATCCTTATCGCATTCCGATCAATGGGCCACAGAATATTTACGCTACTGCTACTGATATGACTCATATTATTGAACGTATCTGATAATTGGTTACGACAACCGCAATGACCCTATCCAGGAAGTTTATACCTACCAACGTCGTTACGTAAAATAATCAGTAACTTCTTGAATTGATCACATCTTAAAGTGGTCAATCCTCACTTTTTTTCAAAAATACTCCTGTGTTAGTAAACATCGCGTGTCCCTGTAGGCAGCAGTTAGGCATGAGCATACATATTCCAACCTCATAAGTATGACTTTCGGTAATGTTTTTGGTCTTATAGTTAATCTTGTATCTGTTTGCAAAGATTCAACATCTTTCATCACCAGGGTTCCATTATATAACTCTTCTTCAGCCTTTGATCAACCACGAAACAATCTTTAACGATTTGCCTCGGAAGATAGCCTTAACCTAGACTAAATCTCCAGGTGAATTAGTGCATAAAACTATCAAGACTTAATCGTTAATCTGCCATAAAACATCTATCTGTTGTCGAGTATTTTAACAACCGTTCAAGATACTATTCTAAAGAATGTCGGCCAGTGGATAGATTTTAAATTTAACTTCCCAGCTGTATATTACCATTGGATGCACATCTTATATATCTGTCTGATAATTCTCATGAACAACTTTTTCTCACTTTTAATCTCATCTTTTGAAGATGAGTCTTCATAAATATTTAAGATTCGTGGAAAGCATACTATATACTTTAGACCTTTTATAGGCTGTCATGAACATACATGCTCAACCTCAAGACTATTTTTCTTACTAATCGAGAAAATGGAACTTTGATAAATTTTCCACCTTAACACAGAATTAATCTTCTAGATAACAAACACTGAATTCATATGAGTTAACATTCAAATAAACTTGGTTGTTATAAACAAAATTATTAATTTAATATTCGAACTCATTAATCAATTAAAGTTAGACCACCATAGAAAACCTGGAATCGCTGGACGGTCATTTAGTCCTGGTATGGGACTCCTCAGCAATCTGCATCCATGATCCCACCTTTAGAGATTCCAACCAAGGACCTTATTGTCTCGCGCGCTAACGCTTAACCTTATAATCCACTGATCCAACATCCAACGGTGTTAATGTCTAACATGAGCATCTATGTCATGATGATGGTTCCATCTTTATCCATAAATGTTTGTGACATTGACTATAAGCTGGAAATTTTTATCTCTTTTCAGTAACGATTCAGTAGGTTCCATCGATTTAACTTGTTATATATCTTTAGTAATTAAGAAATAATCTAACTTCTATATATATAAAACTAATCAAAATCATGAGAAGTTAACCATGTATCGATGTAAATGAAATTCGTTCAATACTAATAATGTTTTTTAAAGAAAATGAACAATTGAAGCTAGACCATTATGGAAAACCTGGAAGTATTGGATGATCGTTTTGTCCTATTGGATAATCCATTGAATTGCATAATGCAATACATTTTTATAATCTTCTAATGAACATTTTGAAACTATAGCCATGTGTTAGAATAGTTATGTAAATACATGATTCATTTATTAGAAAAAACAGACTAGAACTATTTTCAAGAATCAATATGTTTACAGTTCACAGACGTCTTGGAGATTAAGGTGGGCGTTAATTAATATAAAGAATAAATGTGAAATGTTTACATATTACATAATTAGAATTTAAATCTAGACGAATTTTATTGATTTTTTTCTAAGAATCATTTTTGTTAAGAATAATACTGTGGTGCGTGCTACTTATATTGATATAAGTAGTATATAACACGAGTTAAAGAACGTAATGTCTGGCAGATTGTCACCACCCATGTTCTGTTCACTACATTTGCTGTCGCTGCCAACCAGGAGAGGAGGCTGTGTTGTTCTGCGGACTCCGTTGCGGGCTTGGAGCTGAGGTTCCAGTCGGGGTAGTCTAGTGCGGTGAGGTGGCGTCGAATGGAGTATTCTGGAGGGGCGACGTTGGCTGTAGCGGGTGCTGTCGACGAAGAGGAGCGGTGGGACTTGCGGCTGCTTGGAGGATATCGGATGTAGATGGCTCAGCAGGCCGGTGGAGTACAGGTGTTAAGCGTCCCAGGTGCCAGGTGGATGTCGGTTGTTGTTGCCCCGAAAGGTCGACGCAGTTATGGAGGTCAGCACGCCGCAGACCCGACATTTTGACAGAGAGCGTAGCACAGACTGCAGAGACGATGAATATTGCACGGCGAGCATGAACCACCGCAAGAACGACTGCTTTAAATGGGGGACAAGTGTGGTGTGTGCTACTTATAATGATATAGGTAGTATATGACGCGGGTTAAAGAACGTAATGTCTGGCAGCAGAAGATGGAGGAAGATCAAGAAAGGAAGAGCGAGAACACAATGGAATTTGTAAGAAACCGCATGAACAATGAAATGTGAGACAATGGATTGATGTTTGCAACGGCAACAGTTCGGTGTGATATGACAGAATTGGTTTTTCTATTTTACCGAGTAACTCTGTAATTTTGTGCTAATTACATTCCATTGTCCCCACCCGTGTTCTGTTCACTACAATACTGTGATTGACTAATTTACACGAACTATTCAGTAATTACTTTATATATGATAAAGCCATAAACTGAAGTGTGTTTATACTTTGAGACTCATAACAAGGTGTATATACGATAATAAGAAAAGAGCTAACATTGGACTGTTTGACACAGAGGTTAGTGTGAAGACTTTAGAATAATGACTTGGAATTGACTGATCGAATTTTCAGTTTTCAATAGTTCATGATACAGCACAACCACAACCTCTTCTTCATATGATTTAATTCATAGATCATAACATGTCAATAGAACTACAGAAAATTCGTCTCAAAGTTACTAATCAGTAGACACTATAATGTTTTTTAAGAGGGTTAAACATAGAAGTAATATACACTCTTATAATGATCACAATCCGTTGAATAAATTTTAAAATACAGGTACCATTAAACGTTTATTCCATCCTTGTCTCGAACTTCACATAGGATCACACTCACAAAATTATTTTAAAATCTTATCGATGTTCCTCTAGATCATTTTCTTTTATCAAAGATAGAACAACATATAGATCACTAATGTAGATGGTTTATGTCTAATGATTGGAGGCCTACTCGAGTTAGAAGGGAATGGTGTGACCAATAGCTAACTTTGAAGTCACACCTCACAGTCAGCAGCTAACGTGGATAACCCCTTCAGTGTATCGAGATACTATGGCTACCTTGAAGACTGTATAACACAAAGGACGTTATTACGGGAATATATCAGTAAGAACGAGCACAGAGAAAATTTTGAGACCACCATCGTATGGACCAGTCCATGGCATACGATTAGCTGATGCGCATTGGTTGTCCTTGACCTTAACAGGGATCGATAATCTATCAGATATTCAGTGACTGAACTGCCGAATCATGTATCTAGGGCTCAGCGACATTTCACTAGACGGTGAGACTATAATTTGTGGACGAACCAATCAGATTTACTATAACAGGTCTTGGATTTTGGCGTGAAATTCACTTATCCATTTGGCTAAATAAAGTTTTGGCATTATAGCTGATGTCAGTTCGTGATGAAAACCCTAAATATAATTTCTAACCCTAACCATAGACTGTAAATCATAATCTTAATTCTTTAAACTGCTTTATAACCCTCATTTAGCCCTAGTACGTAGGTAGACACTCTCAAGGTTAGTCTAGTGTCGCTTAAAGGTCGTCCATAAATTATAGTCTCACCCACTGGTCCTATAGTTCAGCCGATTAATGATGATCAATGAAATCTTTACAAAAAACAACAATACAAAATGTACTTTTTTTCATAATCAGTGTTTTATATAGATTCTGTACATTCTAGTGAAAGTAATCAAAACAAACATATTGTACATTAAAGTTACATAGAAATTGCGTAAGAAACTGGTTGGATAACTGATAAAATCAGGAGACTGTGGTTGTTTATCATCATGTCAGGATTTATCTTGATATATCCATCAATAATATAACTAATAAATAGTAGATTTTAAATGAATTATGCTGAGGAACTCCACAAAAGGACGAAACGACCGTTCAGTGTTTCTAGGTTGCCCATGTTAGTCTGGCTGTAATTGACTCATGATCTCAACTATTAGAAATAATGTTCACCAATAATTTAATTTGTTCTTTTAACATTCTCTTAATTTACACTATTAATCATTGAATGTAAATGTTACATAATATTATGAAGGATAATTAATGATAATTATGGTTAATACCATGAATGTTGTTTGAATGACGTTAATCAAAAGTGTATAATTAAGGTTGCTCAGTTTAATAGTTCGTGGGTATTTGTTTAATTATACGTAAGAACACTTACATGATTGATCTGATATAAACTGGAGAAATAGTTGGAACCAGAAATCACCGGAGAATTATTTTGTTTTATATTAGATATTTCAGATATTCTCGCCCACAACATTAGATGAAATTGAATCTATTATATTCAGGCTTTTCTATGACCACGTAACCATTAGAATATTGAGTAAGAGATCATTCGTTTACTTCTGTACCATGGTGTGATGAAAATGAAGTTATCTGTCTCAATCCTGCTATGGCTAAACTCTTTCAGTTGAAACTGACAACTAGAACCAGAGAGTACACAATGGTCACATGGTTTAAGTAGTAATTCATGCTTACATGATAATGGAACCTAGAACGGTTATTTCGTCATATTTTAGAGTTGTCGGCTTTATTTACCTGCATCTGCACTGACATGAGAATACTAATACCTGTTGTTTCAAGAGTCATCGACAAAGGCCCTAATAGCCGTATACCAAATATTCTAAAAGGTATCATTATTTTTTACTTCATTTGCTTAACATTTACACAGATTAGTTATTAACGATATATCTGTGTTTTTTTACTTTTGCTTGATTAGAAAGAAGACAATGTATCTTGTAACCCGCCTTGTAAAAATGGTGGTATTTGTCGACCTGGTAATCTATGTGAATGTACACGTGGATATGAAGGTATTCAATGTGAATTAGACATAAATGAATGTGTACGCCTTAAACCATGTGATCCAGATTATGGAATTTGTGAAAATACACCTGGTGGTTACACATGTCAATGTGTACCTGGTTATAAATTAATGTATGATGGACAACATTGTATTGATAATGAACATGCAAAATCAAATCCAAATTTAGTATTTCGTGGACGAGGTACAAAAGGTGTATCAATTGCTACACGTTTAACTAATACAACTCATATAAATCAAACAAAATATTATCCTCGTCAACTAAAGAAACGTAGTCTTCAACCTATCATCAAATATACATTAAAATCAACTTATCCTCCAGATCTTCATAAAAATACTCATTTTCATTATAAAAATCAACAATCCGTATTATCATCTAGGCATCATTATAAAAAATTATCATTTAAAGGTGATCCAGATATTATTACTACTAGAAATGGTAAATAAGTAGTATATTGTTAATATACTACTTATTAAAATTATTGTTAAGCTATAAAGTTCTATTTATATATGTATTCATTCTAATCCATTTCATACTTTCAAAGTTTATAACAAAGAGATAAATTGGACGTTTGTATTTTCTATTGAATGGCCTATGGAAATTGCATTATTATTATTATTATTATTATTATTATTATTACCATTATTATTATTATTATGTAATATTATAATCAGATTATTCTAACTATATGCAACAGTTTCCCATTTTTCTTAATAAAACAATCACTTTTCCCCATATATTAAGTACATTTTTTTGTTTATCAATATACTACTCATAATATAAGTAGTTTATAACTAAATGATTGAAGTCAATATTTTGTCCTACCTCTTAAATGCTTTAATTTTTAGAAGAAGAAAAAGCAAATACTATACTATTACTATTATAATGATTATCTTGTGATTAAAGTTATATTAATCATTTTGTTTTATGCTAATACTGAATTCTTAGCTTTGGATCAGTTATTGATTTGTACGAAATGATTTATTGTTATTATTATTACATAGATATGATCATTGTTTGACAAAAGCCATTCATACAGACATCAATATGATGTTGTTGGAAAGACAATTTAGGATATACTATATTATGTACTGTTTTGTTTATTTTAAATAAAAGAATAATAATAACAATGATGACTTCATTTGGAGTACGGTATACAGTTCTGAGGATACTATATTTAGAACAAGTACTAGTGTAATAAAAGAGAACATAACTAGGGACAATCGAATATATTTGAATATAAAATCTGAGAACCATACAGTAAATTCTTCATTTGTATAATATCAATCAATTGTCTCAGAATTTATTGTTCCTGCATTTTTATAATAATTGCTTTCTGTTTTCGTTGAGAGTGGGTTGGAGAATGCTGGTCGGCAGCCTATGCTCCATTAGGAGTAACAGGCGTAAGTAAGTAAATAAGTAAAGTAATATATAACAAGCATTATACATGAATTTAAGAGTCGTTAATGCTGAGAAATATAGAAATCATGTATCCTTGTTTAGATTATAAGCCCGATGAAAAACTTTATTCGATATTCATAGAATACATGGAAGATATGACAAATCAAATGTAAAATTTATGCCAAAATCAATGACATTTGACATAGATTTTATTACCGAATCTCCAATAGTACAAACTTCATGTGATTCCAACAGAGTGCTTAGACACTTTTTATACATCTCCCTGAAGTGAACAGTTAAATTTTGAAAAAAGATCAAATGCGAGACTATTTAAAGAAGACCATTTCTCAACGAATATTGTAAAGTCATAGATTTCAAGGGGATTTGGAGAAAAGGTATTGTTCGAATATTTATACACTTAAGCCATGTCACAAACTGACATCATACTCATAGTAACAGAAAACATTGGTGAACGGTTGTTTGGTCATAATTTAGATCTAAATCATCCAATAAAGTATATTGAATTTTAAAAGTAAAATTTAGTTAGCGAGGTCACAGAAACAATCATAAATAAATTGTAAATGAAACTTTATTAGTGCTTAGAAAAATATGAAGAGATTTGTAGGGTTCGGAATGGGGATCATGTGGGAATATGAGACTGACTAAATCTGTTTTGAACTCCCCTGTATTCAAGCAAGAGTTCTAAAATTCTGGGGCGTATTGTTTCTGAATGATTTTTTATCTTACAGATAGTTACTAAAACAATTCTGGGATTCAAGCATTATAAGCAAAGATGAATAGTGGCTAGGAGTGGAATCCAGAACGCGTGTTTCTTACCACTTGGGACTAGTCAGTTGGATCCAGGACATAATTTTCAATGTTAAACAATTCATAAACATAAAAATCAGATGTCGTATAAGATATTGTTCCATTACTGAAAAATATATATCATCTTGATTAGATTTTCTACAGAATCAATGTTTTGCTCCTTATAATTTCCAATAAATTACCATCTTCACTATGGTCTAACGGTGAACATTTTATAATGATGTTCAAAAGCGTTAATATTTAGTAATTTTGTTCAACCATGGCCGGCAAATCATGTAGATGGATACGGTGATTACAGATGAAAGAGGTTAAGAATACCAGGATGTGATCCACAACGGACTCGATATAAATGATTATCTAATCAGATTAACTCAAGCTAAAATAAAACCTATTACTAGTACCATTTTTAAGAAGCTTATATTCCTAATTCGAGATAAGTCATTCCTGAACTATTTTCGAGTAAATAATAATCACTCTTATAGAGTGTTCGGATGACTACAATTTGTTTGTTCAATGTACTTGACATTTGGTTGTCTGACTGGATTTGCTTCCATTGGTTAATCTACGCTTTTCTCTTCAAGTAGTTTCTCAGCTCTCTTAATATATTCTACCTTTCCTATAGTAACTACATTACATCTTTTATACTCTAGAACTATGACAACATATTCTCTAGTTCTGATTTTCTTTATATTTTTTGTTCTTGAATACAAAATCATAACAACGTTGATGCGTAAATGTTGAATGTTTGACCAATACACAATAAATATTACGTATTCATATATAATGTATATAGAAATTGTTCAGTTTGAAATTTACATTAAAGACAAAGTTCAGTTAAACCACAATTGAATATCAAGAAAAAACTAGATTATTTTATCTGATTATGAAACTTCTTGATAGTACTTACTTACTTACTCCTGTTACTCCTCGTGAAGGAGCATAGGACGCTCACCAGCATTCTCCATCCAACCCTGTCCTGGGCAATCCTTTCTAGCTCCTTCCAGTTCCTATTCATGCTTTTCATATCTGCTTCTATTATCCGACGCAATGTGTTCTTTGGCCTTCCTCTTTTTCGCTTCCCTTCAGGATTCCAAGTTAGGGTTTGTCTCGTGATGCAGTTTGACGATTTCCGTAATGTATTTCCTAACCATTTCCATTGCCTTTTCCTAATTCCTTCTTCAGCTAGAAGCTGGTTTACTCTCTCCCACAGTAGGCTGTTGCTGATGATATTCGGTCAATGGATGTTGAGTATCTTGCGGAGACAGTTATTCATAAATACTTGTACTTTCTTGATTGTGGTTGTTGTAGTTTTCCAAGTTTCAGCTCCATACAGTAGAACTGCCTTGACGTTGGTATTGAAGATTCTCACTTTGATATTTGTTGAATGTTGTTCTGAGTTCCATATGTTCTTCAATTGTATGAATGCGGCCCTTGCTTTGCCAATCCCTGCCTTTACGTTTGCATCTGAATCTCTTTGATGCTTCCTTCTTGACACTGCACTTGTTGAATCTTATCACAAATAAGATTCAAAAACTTCAAACCATTGAAATTACAACCCAGTGGCTCAGGTTCCAAACTTTAATCAACTCAATATTTACTGGATTTGATTAAAAGGAAAGTTTATTTGTTCTAAAGAATCATTCATTTTAATCCCGGCTTTGCATTAAACAGTATAAGGGTATGAACAAATTCTGTTAGACATCATAACATTGATCTATATAACTTGCAATAGCTTATCTTCAATAGAAAGTTTAAGAAAACTAATTTATTTAAAATTAAATTGTATAATTTAGGGTAAAGAACGATAATGCAAATTGAATGACTTTGGTAGAATCGTTTTTAGTAAACCATATATATTCATTCAAATAGTTGGTTAGTGAAGATGTTTCGAAATCAAAGGAACATTTTTAGATCGCGCGCGCGCGCGAACACTTAACCTCTAGACCATTGAGTTGACATCCAATGGTGTTATTGTCTAAATTCGACCAGTACACCGTTGTCTTCAGTGAGTTACTATCTCATAACAGACCTGGTTGAACTCTACTGGTCACGGCTTCTCACCAGAATGAGGAGTTTCATACTAGGACGAAATGGCTGTCTAATGCTTTCGGGATTCCCATAGTGGTATAGCTTTAATTGAATCATGAATTCAATTGTTAAATTACTAAAATCTACACAAAACCCGTTTCTGATAATGTTTTTAAACACCACATTTGATAGCATTTCAAGTCAGCTATTGATTAAATCATATGGTGCATATCAAAAAGACTTAAAAACCATAGATTTGATGTTGTGTTTGTATTAACTACTGAAGAGTCTCAATATAATGCGAAACACGTGTCTAAGATTGTCTGACATTTCCATACAATATCTAATTGATATTAAATCATGACGAAAATCATTATTCACAAGAAATATTATTACTGAGTAGGATAAATTTTCCAGATGCATTGCAAGTATAATCAATGATATAGTATGATCAACACTGGGAATTATTGATTACTTGAAAAAAAATTCTTCAAAGTGTAGATATCTACTTTTTTAAGTAATATTTCTAGATATCTTCGAACTACAATGTACTATATACTTACATACTTACGCCTATTACTTCTCATAGAGGAGCATAGGCTACTCACCAGGATTCTCCATCTAACTCTGTCCTGGCCGATCTTTTCAAGGTGTTTTCAGATGCTATTTATCGTTTACATTTCTTCTTCAATTTCTTGACGCAGTGTGTTCTTTGACCTTCCTCTTTTTCGTTTCCCTTCAAGATTTCGAACTAGCACTTGCCTCGTGATGCAAATATATATTATACACATAGAAAAAATTTCTATAGACAATTTTATCTGCACCGAAACTAAGGTAATACTTCGGATCCGTTGACCAGATAATATCAGCAAAAACCTACTATGGGAGAGAACAAACTAAATTCTAGTAGAGGAATAAGCACAGGAAGTGAATAGGACACAAATTGAGGAAAACACTCAATTGCGTCATAAGGCAAGCCCTTACATGGAATCCTCAAGGTCAAAGGAGGATGAGGAGGAGAGAAAGATCAAAGAACACATTACCCCGAGAAATGGAGACAGACATGAGAAGAATGAACGTCAATTGGATAGAACTAGAAAGGAAAACTCGTGACAGAGTGTGTCGGAGAATGCTGGTCGGCGGTCTATGCTCCATCGGGAGTAACAGGCGTACGTAAGTAAGTAAGTAAATAAATAAAATACTTGTGGTATTTGAATGATTCATATGTACCTAGTAAAAATTCCTAATAGTTTCTATTTTCTCAAAAAGCACATATTTATGAAGTCAGACATATTCAACAAGATGATTCATCAATAGAACCAAACAAAAACAACAAAGAATAGAAGAGAATTACATTAATTAATTAATTAATTAGTTTTTTT